CCATGATCTAAATCACAATGTCATCATAGAGAGGGGTGTATACTTCAGATATAGAACTGTGATGACGATGGATTTCACTACATAATGTAACAGTTCAATTCAGAGTTTTCAACTCTTTTGCTTGACGCACCGTTTGCAGATGTCTGCACAATCACGCAAATGATGGAGCAGACATTTGCAAACGGTGCGTCAAGCAAAATATAATATATTATCCCAAAAATTTTTATTAATCACCTATTGTGTTCACACAATCGTCAACATATGTAACAAAAGTGTTGATAACATGGTTTTACACAATTGCACAAGTAAAAAAATCGACTTTACCTGAAAATGTATATTTTGATGAGATTTCTTACAAGGATTAAAAAAGGCATCACCACAACGCAACAGAAATCACCTCCCAGTTGAGAGAGCATTCACTGTCTGGCTATAAAAATCCAGATTACTTTCAGAATTCGGCATTCGTTTTAAAGGAGTTTCAAGGTCAAATCACTACGCTGCTACACCGAACATCGCCATTGAAAGAATGTACGCTGAGGATTACCAATCTTCTGTTGTCAGGCGTCTGAATTAGTCTGAGCACGATATCACGGCTTACAGCTCGTTACAACCAAACAGGCATAACAAATGACCATCCCCGTACAGGCAGACCTCGAGTCACCACTGCAGCCCAAGATCGGTACATCCGGGTACTACATTTGCGTGATCGTACTTCCATGGGTGAGAGCACAGCAGCCAGGGTGCCTGGACTTCGGAGGATATCTGGTCAAACGGTACGGAACAGGTTGAGAGAGATTGGACTGAGAGCCAGGAGATCCGACGTCGGGACCGTGCTACGTCGTTACCATGGGGCTCAACGTCTCCGTTATCTAAAATTATAACATTTCCTTCTTCTAAACTGATGCAAAAAATCATGTACTAAAGTCTATTTGTGGACGAGTTATACATGTGTGAAAATACAACATTTTCACAACAGATTTCTGGGTTATGCGTTTCTTTTTTTAATAGTATAATATTTTTTGCGTTCCATGGCGACAAGCATGATTACGCGGTTATTGGCGGTACAGCTCTTTTCCGGAGCAGAACTTTGAAACCGTTCAATGTTTCTTCACCACACTGGCACATAGATAGATTTGGTGGTGAACTGGTGCCTTTTGGTAGTTTTGGATTTCTGAATAAAATATTGTTTGCGTTTCCATAGCAAAAACTTTAACTTTAACTAAACTTTTTAATACTCTTTTTCCACTAAACTCACTCACTCGGGGTATCCAAGAACCTAATGAAATAAATCAACAGTACCACTCTATTTCCACTATCAACATTACTGAGGAACATCACACTGTACATTTGACATAGTCATAACTAATTCACATATTCCTGAAGAGTATTTTACCATTGCGGGGGATATTGATGACTTTGTCTTCCTGTCTCTATTATTTGCATGTATTTTAAAATAAACTGTACTGGTGATTAGTCAGCACTCGATACTCGATGTAGTTTCGATACGGTTTTTTCATTATAAACTTCTAAAAATATGTTCCACGTTACACAGCTGCTGATTGGTATTTGCCTGTTCTTCAATGCATTACATTCGCTGGCAAATTCATTTGTTAACCCAATCTTCAGAAAAACATTTTGAACAAGCAACAGGTTACTTTATGCAATGTTTTTGTCTCTTTTTGTTCAAAACACGTCAAATGACTTTAAGTAATCAAAGATCATCAAGCATCACACTTGAGTAATTATGTACATTATTTGGCATGCCCGTCTGTACCAAGATCTCCACAGACGCATGAAATACAATTTCTTTAAAATCACATGGAACTCAGACAATGTGTATGGCACAGAAAGAAAAGAAAATCATTCGGACCAGCGATGTCGAATTATTTGTAATAAAAGTGACTTTCTTTCTTAAGCGATGGATTTACCCCAGGAGGCAGCAACTCAAACTGATGAGACAATTACAACATGCGACGTTACCGACAACACTCACTCTGACCATGGTGGGGACGAGGAGCAGGAAAGAGGAAATTGGGGCTCGCAAGTGCAGTACCTTTTGACAGTCGTTGGCTATTGTGTTGGCCTTTCAAATGTGTTGCGTTTCCCGTATATCTGCCAAACAAACGGTGGAGGTATGCATTCCAAATACAAATAAATATACTTTTAAGTAAGCTTTTAGCAGTGGAATGCGTGCTTTCTAGAGTGCTTGTGTTTGTGACAGTTGGGGCGGGATAAATATGCTCTATGGGAACACCAGGTATCATTACTATTTGATAGTAATAAACACGTGTTTGCGATATACATGTAGTCGGATTCGTACGTTGTCTCTGATTTTTTTTCTCAGATGTATTGCAATTGCTTAAAGGGTTTTCGTTGCTATTATTTATCACATTGTCCACTTTACGGAAAGACAGTCAATTAAAAGTAACCAGAGATAGCTGTAACTGAAGAATATGTTCAGGAAGGTCAAAGTAAACCACGGGGCTTTCCCCAACGTCTGATATACCAACAATTAATAATCAGTGAATGGATCGGTGATGAAACCATGTTTATCATAAAAAACTGTGTTCCACTGGAGATATTGCTTATGTGATATCAAACGATATCTCCAAGGAGATATCGTTTTGTCAGTAGACTTTGTACAATGCCCTGACAATGCTATGACATCATGAACGTGATGGCGTCACAATGCTATGACATAGCTGCACTGCAAGTCTAATGGCAGTACCGTCTTCGGAGATGTACATTTTTTCATTGAATACTAATGAAGAGTTTGTTTTTATGATATATAGAATCTCACCCTCGTGTCTACTGATATCAATTATATCAACACTCGTTGATAAAAGTAAAAATATCCTCGGCAATCCTCGGATATTTGTAACTTTATCAACTCGTGTTGGTATTATTGATATCAGTAGACACTTGGGTGCGCTATGTATGTATTCCGAGGCAATTAAAAATGTGTCTAATATGAGTGAGTGACTTCCTGTAACCACTGAAATGTGATCTCTTAAGACAAACACTGAGAACGTATGCCACTCCAAAATGAAACCACACTTAGATTTTTTTCTCGCAGGTGCCTTTCTCATCCCTTACATCACGTGTCTGCTGCTTTGTGGTTTGCCGCTGTTTTTTCTGGAAGTTGTTATAGGACAGTTCCACGGGAAAGGTGCCGCTCATGTGTGGGTGTATGTCCCTTGATAAAAGGTGGGCGTCTTCTTACAGTATGCCAATTTACGATACAAAAGCCAAGCCCATTTGAGTAATTTTCCGTTTGCAAAGAAGGGCTGTTGATTTATTTGAACAGTCAATAATGCTTCCTCACTATTGGTAACTTTGTGTACGAAAATACTAACTGATATGCCATAGGTTAATCTTCTCTGTTTCAGTTCGAATATTTGATTGACTACACTCATACTTCTCATTTAAATGTCGATCTGTGATTTGTCTGTTATTGCCGACAAATGTATAAAATTAACCGTGAAGATTGTTCATCCGAGAATGCATAGGGTAGTCCTTTGGAAATCTGAGAGAACACAGATGAGTTAAAACCAACCTAATTTTGTATCAGAATATATAGATTGCAGGATCAACTATAAACTACCTGGCATAGAAGTTTGATAGGTAACTACACTAACGGAAAAAAGTAACTGTACATAACATTAAATTGCATAAAATAAAAGTTATTTGAAAAGTTATAAAAATGAACTTAATTGGTTGTTTTTTGACACCTGAAGGTCACACACCTGATATTGAAAACAGAAGAACGGTTAAGTATTCTCTTGCCTCTGAATGTTGTGGAAAATACGTTGATTTCTATCTAAAGTACGCGTACGTATGCCACAGATTACAGGAAATCAGCGTATCTGCGCTGTGGATATACTGGAGACTGGAATTGGCCAAAATGAAGTGGTCAGACATTTGGTGTCCATCAAAACACGATCTCGTCTCCATAGAGACGTTTTCAACATAATGGGAACACGAGAGATTTGCCTCGGAACGGCTGTCCACGAGTGTCATCACGTCACCAAGACAACCACATTCGACTGCCCCTTTGACTGCTCGGAACATTTACTGCCTCACCGCGCGGTTTTTTGGGTTATTTATATCTCCAACGTCACCGAGAGGCACGTCTTGCCTGGTGCCGACAGCGTCTACGGTACAGGACACAAGATTGGGATTGTTTTTTTATTCACTGACTAGTCGAGATTTCATCTGGACAGCTCAGATCGTATGGCAAGGGTGTAATGACGGTGAGAAGAACGGTATGCTGACGCGTGTGTTGTTCAACGTCGACAGTCTGGTGTCTACAGCTTTATGGTGTGACGCATCGCATCTCAAGGTCAGACACAACATGTCCTTGTCAATTGTAATCTGACAGGTCGGCGATACAGGGTGGAGATCATTGGCTTCTTTGATTGGTATTCTAGAAGTTGAGGAGATGAAGAATGAGGACAATATTTATGGATAAATTCAAGGACAGAGACGTAACTGGGACCATTCCGGTACTCCCCTGGCAAGCCGTTTTCTCCGGACCTACACCCAATCGAGCACGCTTGGGAAGAAATGGAGCGACGTTTACGTCAACCCAGAATCAGCCACTGATGTTAGCGGAATTGGGACAAGCTTTGGTTCAGACTTTCCCCAAGCTTTCTTCAAACGCTTAGTGTCGTCTATGCGTCGTTGTTGTCAAACCCATCAACGCCAATGGTGGACACACACGATACTGAATTTGTAAACTGACATCTGACACCACATCTCTTCCAGGGCGTGTCACGGTGCCCAGTGTCAAATCATACAGATTTCGATATTATCCTGTCAACAGATTGACAGTGATTAAGGACAATACCACAAATCAAATTATTTTTTCACATCAAAAATTGGAATAAAATCAAATAATGCACAGTTATTTTATTCCAGTAGTATACTTCAGGACACGGAGAAACCAAAGAATTTATGTGTATTTATATTACGTCTCCGGACCAGGCTTGGGGATCGGCATGCTTATCATATCCGGAGGGGTGATAGTTTACTACAGTACCACCTGTGCCTGGGCCGTGTTCTACATGATCTACTCCTGTAGAACAGTTCTTCCCTGGACCAGCTGCGACAACACCTGGAACACTGAGAATTGTGTTGAAAACATGAAGTTAATGACAAGTAAGATTATTGTATGTATATGTATGGGGATGGATATGCTCTCCTTGTAAAACGTATACGGTCACCAGGATACAGTAAACACCCGTTATCATCACTATTTGGTTCTGATGCATAAAACCTGGCTAATGATACAGTCTGAACCGTTCAATCGACTAGTATACGGCTGTCACGGGTGATATCTCAGAGTGAGTGAGTATGTTAAGATTTAACGTCACATCGGCAATATTGCAGCCATATCGTGACGGTGATATCTCAGAAAACATAAGAGATGTGAAATATCAAAACCTTTCTGATGACACAAGTTAAGTGATCGGATCCAGAAATCTTGTTTGTATTGCTGCCAGTGGATTGGTAATACTATATCAAATGAACAGTACAATATTTTCATTTGTTATTGGCTTATCAAATCTATGTACTTCGGTTTGACCACTATATGGGGAAGCACACGTACGTTCGTAAACGAAAAGGGGTGCGTCGATTCATCTGCTCTGCTCAAAACCATGGTTTATCGTGAATAGTGTCTTTTAAGGGCTAATTATGTTATGTTACTTTCAGCAAGTAGCTCCGCCGTTCCAAACGAAACTCAAGTCAACAAATCATTGGCAGTCACCACAAATCTTACTGACAGCGGTGGGGAGAATGAAACGTTATTCCACACTGCAGCTGAAGAGTTCTGGCAGTATGTAGACACATGTTCAGGAACAAGACCCTTTGTATCATTCTTTGATTGTTTTCAGACCTGTCTGTAAAACCATTTGCCTATATTTAGGTCACTTTCACTTTCAGTTACACTATCATTATATTTACTTAAGATTGACTAATGACTACTATTAACAGGTACTTTAGGGGAGAGATTAATATCGTATCAAGATATAATATCCTGAAGTCGGAACATTATGATGGAATGATTACCAACGTGGCTTACAATTACATTGTACCTTGGGAACAGTTGTATTCCTCATGTAAGTTGCTGGCGATCTATAGCCCGCGTTTTACATTGTATTGTCTTCTTTGATTAAAATGTTTCAGTTTTGCATCGTAGTTTTAAATTCATATCTGTGATAATCTAGTACTTTTACTGTCCATCGTTGACAGGTTTTACTCTTCAGAATGTTTACATCTTCAGAATGTTTTCATCTTTATTGTATAAATTGTTTTCGTCACATTGCCGATGTGACGTTAAATATTAACTCACTCACTCACTATTCCTCATGTAATGCCTCTTATTGCCTCAGTTTCAGTGTCATTTTCGATTCTTACACCAGTACACATATCTGATGACGAGATCAAATCAACCGTGACTTGTTTTCAGATACAAGGTCCTCAGCATCAGCTCAGGACTGGAACATCTGGGAGGCATCAAGTGGGAACTCGCTCTGTGTCTCCTTGTCACCTGGATTTTAATATTCAGCAGTCTGGTGAAAGGTATCAAATCAATTGGAAAGGTAATGCCCACTCTTTTTAGTATCTTAGTGTCTCTCCTACCAGAATGATGTCCTGTACCTCATGACTGATGTAAAAGTTTGATTTTATTTAGGAAATGTAGTTTGCCCTATTGTCTCTGGAACTGAAAGAATCATTCCATCCCCTAAATACCAAGTGGTACATCTGGATACTAAACGGTTCCGGCTGTGTATCCAGGATGGAAAAAAAATATTAGAAAGGATCGTTTTCATTTCCCTGAAGCTTGTCACCGGATCAGAAATAATGACAGAAAAAGATACAGTCACTCTCTATCTGTTCTTGATCAAGGTTTCAATGAAGACATGTTGATGAGTTTCATTCTTCTGCTTTTACTTTGTCCTTTCATTTCCATGTTGACCTACCTCTTAATGAACAAATATCTATGATGTTGCTATGTAATTGCACATAAGCCGTCTATACATTGAAGGTTATTTTCTCTTGTTAATCTGCTTTGTTTAGGTTGTGTACGTGACGGCGACAATGCCATATGTGTTTCTCTTCATCCTGCTTGTCCGTGGACTGACTCTACCTGGCGGACCACAAGGTGTTCTGTTCTTCATCACTCCTGATTTCAACAAATTAACGGACGTGCAGGTGCGTGATGGAAATGTATAAATACCTTTCAATTATTTCTTTCAGTTTGGGCCAGAATGACTATCTTGGACAGTGATGAGATAAAACGAACATTCTGGGTAATGGCAATGATATTGGCATTCTCCTAGTCGCCCCCATTCCCGTCTACATAAAACACAACAAGCACATACTGAACAACAGGAACCGACGTGCGTTCCGCGGCAGTGCACTCCCGGCCTTTCAGCATTTATCATGTTTGTATTCTAATGTTGTATTTCTGTATGTTTCAGATTCTCATGATCATGCATCGTTCATGTGATGTGGCATGATGGTGGGTTATGGCTGTCGAGCCGTTATAATACGGTAATATGGTATTGTATGCCATATGTCGGCTGTCGAGCCGTTATAATACGGTAATATGGTATTGTATGCCATATGTCGGCTGTCGAGCCGTTATAATACGGTAATATGGTATTGTATGCCATATGTCGGCTGTCGAGCAGTTATAATACGGTAATGCTGGAAGGTATTCTGCTGATCTCAAAAACCCAGAATAAGCCAGTAAACATACAGCTAATATTCTCAAATCAGCCAATGATGCATTTTCACGCCTGGAATCGTACACTTTATGCAGAATATCAATATCAACAGGCTCCTTCTTCGTTACAGGCTTAGCTAATTTACGTTTGGCTGCTTCTAGAAAATTCTTTACCAAACCATTTTCTATTGCCCGATTTTATATTGTGTTGTTTTGAAATGATTTAACATTTTACACTGAACTCAAACTAGTTTTAATCGAATTGTGATATTCTAGTCGTTATACTGTCCTTCGATGGCAGGTTTTTAAATAAGTATACATATGTTTATTCTTAATACATAACCTTTTGTCGTTACAATATGGCTGAAATATTGCCGATGTGACGTTAAATATTAACTCACTCACTCACTCACTCAAGATATTCCTGTAAGCCTCTATTAACATATTTTTCAAGGAGTTCAGCCAGGAAAGGTAAATTTGATATAGGTCTGTAGTTGTTCAACTGATTTTTTTCGAGGGTAGGTTTCTTCAGTGTAGGCTTAATAGAAGCCTTCTTGAGTGGAGGGGGGACGACTCCTGTCTGGAGACTCGTGTTGATTAACTTCGTGATGACAGGAAAAAGTACATCAACATGTTCCAACAAGAACTTTGTGGGAAGTGGGTCTAAGGCACATGTTCTTGGTTTAGACTGACTGATCAGCACCAGAACCTCTGCTGGAGTAAGCGGAGGAAAGGCTGTGAGAACATCACCAGCAAATTCATCACTCGTGAAACCAATATCTGAAGATAAGGCATCTAGGCCAGATATTATCCTTTCCATTTTGGCTTGGAAATAATCACTGAAGCTTGACGCTAGCTTTAAATTATCATCTGTATGAGCAAAACAGTATTTGGAGCTTTACCCAAAAGGGAATTCAGGTGACAGAACAAGGTCTTTGGATTACCAACTCTGCAATATTTTGTCATTTGAGTACTTAGCACTAGTAGTTTTAAGCAGTCTGTTAATTTCTGGAATGGTTATAGATTTGTCTGTCGATCTCTAAGCGAGATTTAGATTTCCTTTCATGGGTGCGTCTCTGTGTCTTGGCTAACTTGATAGCATCATTGTACCAGGGTGAGTTCGTCCTTGGACGCACATGCTTTAATGCTTCTGGTGCATGTTTGTCTAATAGTCCTGATAAGGTTTCATTATAGCAAGTCACCAATTCACACACTTCCACAGGTGGATTGACCAGTAGCTCCGATTCAGAAATGCCATTCTTGAATTCACTTTGAGACATCTGTTTGATATTCCTACACTACACGGGTGTAGATTTGTGAATAGCCATATCCACGGAGATGAAGAAGTGATCCGACATCTGTCTGTCCAATACAGTAATATCTTTGATCACATTCTCTTTTGCCGTACAATCACCCAGTCCGGAATATGGCCATTCTGATGAGTTGCCGTAATGACTATCTGTTCTAATCCGTAAGCCTCCAGAAGTCGGACAATCTTAGTGGTATCAAACCTGGAACTATCGTCATAGTGAATGTCTCCGATGATCATAAGTTTGCATTTATTAACATTAACAGCAAAAAAACTGTGGAAACGATAATGTGTTTACTTTAGACTGCGGAGGTCTGTAGATACACAGAATCCTGATTGTTTCCTCTTGAAAAGTGACAAGTGTCTGCATCGGTTCAATGGATTTGAAGTCATGGTTGTGAGTAACAACATGCTGCATCCTTATATACTCTATATACAATAAGGCACCCATGAAGGGCAACCTCCTCGTGGTGGGTGCTGGGTAACGCTAAGCGCCCTTCAAACCCCCGTTGTGGGCCCGGGGGGGATATTAGGTCCACCAACCTGTTTGCCGTGGGTTGCGCCCCTGTGTTGGTGGAGGACGGGATTCTGGTGGTTGAGGGCAAGGGCTCCAGGAACAGTGTTCCTTTGCCCAATACACCACTTCGACCCTTACTTCACCTAGACGGGTGGTAGAACTGGCCCGGTTCTATCAATCGGCTGGTCACGCCAAGCCCTGTGCATTGTATTTTGTCTTGCACACCTTATATCTAATTATTCATTGATTACTTTGTGGACTTGGTAAAAATGTACTTGTACTATTCACTTGCTTAATATAAACAAATACAAAATTACTTGCCTAGAGTCTAACATGCCAGAAGGCGGTGGCTCATGGGCCAATCTGGTAGTACATTATATTCAATGTTACTGCTTGAGTATACTCTCTTGTTATCCTTGGTGCCGCCTGTTGGAGGTCCACAGGCTTCTGGCATCGTCCTTGTTGACACTCCATGGTGGGTGGGGAGCCAGGAGAGTGAACCACAAACTATACAATCATGGCTTCACAAAACCCAAAAAACAAAAGAAACGGTATCATGCAGATGACACTGATGACGAGGAAGATACAATTACAAGACTATGCTATTCGGAACGTGAAACCTGGCCTCGATTCATTGTTGCAGAGTCTAGTGAGAAGAAGTTAACTTCTTGCTCTCCTTTTCTATTAGAAAAAGCAATTCAAGGTATTGCTGGAACTGTTAAAATGTAACCAAAACTAGATCTGGTTCAATTCTAATAGAATGTGTAAAGAGAGAACAAGCAGCAAATCTCATGGAAACAAAATCCTTTGCAAACATTCCTGTAAAATGTTATCCACACAAGTCTCTCAACTTCAGCAAAGGCATTATCCGAGACAGAGATAGGAGTCTAGCTGATCTCTCCACGGATGACATAGTAAGTCAATTAAGAATACAGGGTGTAGTTGAGGCGAAGCGTTTTACATTCAAGAAAGACGGTGTATATTTGCCTTCCAATACTTATCTGCTTACATTTGATGTTCCAAAGTTGCCACAATCTCTTAAAGTTGGATGCTTCTCTATGTAGATTGATCTGTATATTCCTAATCCTCTCAGGTGTTTTAACTGCCAGAAATTCGGTCACGGACAAAACTCGTGTAAAAATCATGCTGCCTGTTTTTTCGTTGCGGTGACAAAGATCACGACAGTGGAACATGTACATCAGAACCAAAATGTGTGAACTGTTCTGATTCACACATATCCTCCTCTAAAGAGTGTACTGTTTGGAAATTTGAAATGGCCGCCCAACGCATCAAAACAGAACAGAATATTAGTTTTACAGAGGCAAGGAAGTTGGCTGCTTCAGCTACTCCATCTGGTAACACTCCACTGCGGGGTAAATCAACTTACGCTCAAGTGTCGAAACCCTCCACTCACTCCATTGATTGTCAAACTGACTTGACTTGGGTGAATACACAGACTCCTATCCGTGTTCATGATCTCACTTCTGGCACAACTTCTAACTCGTCCTCACAAACAGTATCACAATCATCAGAAACCCAAACATCTGCACCAATTGTTGACTATTCCAAAAAACAACATAGAAATGAACGAGTTCCAAAGGGACAAAGGGACCCTGTGTCCATTTTAAACAGGTTCGATCTCTTAGATGACATGGAAGTGTCATCCCAACTGAAACACCAGCTCCAAGAGCCATTCTCCCAAAAGAAAGGTCGGGAGCTTTCTCCCATAGCACATCCTAAATGACTTCTCAAAATATAATCCAGTGGAACTGTAGAGGAATGAAGAATAATTTGAATGAGTTACAGCTTTTAGTTCAAGATTATACACCATCAGCTTTATGCTTGCAAGAGACTTATCTCAAATCAACTGATCACTTTGACTTACGACGATATACATCATACCATTGTTTCTCCCTCCAGGGCATAAGGCTACTGGAGGATCTTCAGTATTGTGAGGCAGGGTATAATCCATAGTCCTGTCCCACTAAATACCCTCTTCAAGCAGTTGCAGTTCGGCTTACTCTGCGTTTTGTTGTCACTTTATGTTCTCTTTACGTTCCACCCTCATCCTGTCTTCAGCAATCAGATCTTCAAAAGTTATATGATCAACTCCCTAAACCTTGTATTATCACAGGTGACTTGAATGGCCACAATCCACTTTGGGGTGGTACAATTATAAATACAAAGGGAAAAATACTTGAGGATTTCATCTCGAATACTGATTTATGTATATTAAATGATACTTCACATACTTATTTACATCCTGGAACTGGAAGTTATTCTTCAATAGATCTTTCACTTACAGACTCAAACTTATTAAATGAATTTGAATGGTCGGTTCACGATGACCTTTGTGGAAGCGACCATTTTCCCACGGTTCTCTCAACTGTACATCCGAGTGATGCCCCACCATCGTCAAGGTGGAACTTTACAAAAGCCGACTGGTCTTTATTTCATACATTATGCACTGAAAGATTGCAACCTAACTTATTCCTTAATGTTACTGATCCTATTCAAACATTTTCTGATGAACTCATTATTATTGCTGATGAATGTATTCCAAAATCCTCTACAGTTCCACACATTCGTAAACCATGGTTTAACATTGACTGCAAACAAGCTAGAAAGGCTAGGAAAAAGGCAGAAAAATATTTCCGTCGGCACCCAACAGTCCATAACTTAAAACAATTTAAAATTTCAAACGCCAAGGCTCGTCGTACATTTAAACAAAATAAACGACAGTCATGGCGAAATTATGTTTCTAAAATTAACTCACGAACACCTATTTCTAAGGTATGGAATATGGTGAAGAAGATAAAAGGTAAAGGTTCCAAATGTAGTGTGCACCATCTTAAGGAGGGTGACTCTTTTTTAACAGAAAAATCTGATATTGCTAACAAATTAGGTGAAACTTTAGCCAAACATTCCTCCTCATCCAATTATTCACCAACTTTTCAGAAATTTA